ACCTTAGGATTACGTCGGTGGATCAATTTTTGGGAATTTTTTTTTACAATAAAGGACATTTCAAAAATCCTTTGTTGTGTTTTTTTTCCAATTAAAAGATTTTTTCAAAAGTCTGGACTTTTTAAAAATCTTTTATTTAACCCTTTAGTGAATGGGTAGGGGTATCCCTTACTCATTCACAAGGGGGGCGCATCTGGGTATTACCCTGATGTGCTAAAGTGGTACCCTGATGTGAATAAGCCCCCCTGCCCGAACGCCCCAGGGCTTGTAGGGAAGATACCCTTGTCCCCATCGGCACGGGTCAAGGTGCTTTTTCAGGGGGCACCCTAAACAACATTGAGTCCTCAATCTCTTTTCCTTGCAGCCCCAGCACTGAATGCACAAGAGCACTCAGTACAGAGGGTTCTTGTTCATTCACAAACTGAGGTGGCATAGTACTCTCCCCAGCTATGAATGGACAGGAAGACTCTGTGCTGAGTGCTCCTCTCCATTCATAAACTGAGGAGATAGTAACTGTTTAATCTACCCCCAATCATGCATGAACATGAAGTGATGTGTAGCACTTCCTGTTCATTTATAACTGGGGACATAGTAAGCAGCTACTATCTCAGTTATTTACAAACACCAGAGTGCAGACACGTAGGATTTGTTTAATCCCAAATTGAAATTCTGGCAAATTTCTGCATATTCAGACATTGGGATCCATCCGAATTTCCGAATGAAAGAAATAACTAATCCAGATGCATCCAAATTTTTTTCTGAATCTCATTCGGAATGAATTTATGTTGTTAAAAATATGCTAAAAATAAATAAAAGCGTGGAGTCCCCTTTCCAATTTATACCAGGCCCTTTAGGTTTGGTAAGTTTAGGTTTGGTAGGAATTTGACCCCCCCCCTAAATCTCTCCCCCCCGGCAAAGCACCCTCCCCATGTCGAGGGCATGTGGCCTGTCTAGTAATGGATTTTAGGGGGGGACTCCATGCTTTTTTGGCATTGGGCCCCCCTAAAATTCCTACCAGTCCTAAAGGGTCTGGTGGGAATTGGGGGGAGGGGAGCTGTACGCTGTTTGTTTTTCTTCTGTGAACAGTTAAAAAGAAAAAAGTAAACATCTAATGGTACTTTTCTGAAACAAATTTTCATTTGTAAATATCGTTTAACTCATCCAAAATTTACAAAAATTTTGGATTTGTCAAAATCCGAATACCAAAACTAATTAACTTTCGGTCTCGAATCCTGAAAAACGGCATAACAAAAAATATGGAACAAAACAAATTTTTGGCCGGCGCACATGTCTACCATAATAATAATATTAAAATAATAATAATGTACTGATCCCCGTCGTGTTTGCTCAGTACACAGAAGGATCAGCAAATGCATATCTGCTGATCCTCCGCTCGGCATTCTGAAGCGCCTCTTGATCTGATAATCTTCTTCTTTCCTGTACTTTTCATCAGTCCCTCCAGTGCTGGCACCGCTCTCTGATCCAGTGCTGACTGCTGCGTCTTTTGTGTCCCACGGAGTCTGTGCGGGTGCACACTGCTCGCCGAAGATCTATACCGCTCATGCGCCCGCCCCATGATCCTTTGCGGCCGCCGGAGAATCTTCAGATCTTCGGATGGGAGTTTGAACCGGTTTGGTAACTTTTTTTTTCTTTAATGTTTTTGCATATATATATATACTGTTTGCTATGCAAAAAAAACGCTAGGGTTTAAATACCCTTTAAAATTTAATTTGCCCAGACTTCTTCTTTAACCCTTGCAGTGTGGTGGGGGCCCCACTGCAAGGGTTCATTTTGCACATGCCCGGATTTCTTCTGTAATCACATAGCCACCTCTTGCAATGAGAATCATCCTTAGTAATCATGGAGCCAGGAAAGGGTTAAAGTTATTGTGGATGTTTACACTGTATCAGGCAGTATCAGGCCGGTCTAGCAGCCATGTGCAAGGGTTAATTTGGGGGGGGGGGGATCCATAATAATGCATTGGAGAGGGTAGGGAGAGTACCCTGTGTAGCTGGAAATGATGATGTGATGTATTTCTCATACAACGGGCTGGGTGTGAGGAGATCGTCTCTGCAAAGTGTGATATTTTATACAGAATATGTAATCATAAAGTATGGAGTTTGGGAGCATTCTATTATAACATACTAGATGATGTGATCTGGTCCTTTTTTATCTAATGCCCATATTGTCAGTGTACTTATGTGTAGAAGATTCCACTCTCACTGACGTGCTTCCTTAAAGAAGATCTCCAGGATATTATAAATCTTACCCTTGCAGTGGGTATACACCTGCACTGCAAGGGTTAAAAAAGAACTACAGGATCCCCCCTCCCCCAAATTAACCCTTGCACATGGCTGCTAGACCGGCCCTTTTCAAATTAACCCTTGCACCTGGCGGCTAGACCGGTCCTTTTCAAATGAACCCTTGGACCTGGCTGCTAGATCGGTCCGCACAGCCTCTCCTCCCCTGGGCTCGAGCAGTCTAAGGACCCGTGAGATCCTCATGTCTAATGCAGGTCCATTAGACATGAGGACACCGAGGGACCTACTACCGTTGGAGCAGAGTGGGAGAGAGGTGAGTGCTGACTGCCGCAGGACCGAGGATCAGTTATTTAAATCCCTACACCAAAACGAGCACTTAACTCTTGCAGTGCAGGGGTATCCCCACTGCAAGGGTTACTTTGAAAGAAAATCCTGGAGTTCTTTAAGTGCTTGTTTTAGTCTAGGGGTGCAAATAAAGAAGATTTACTCACCTAATCCTCAGTCCTGCGACCGCCTCCGCTCCAGCTGTGGTAATCACTCTGTGTCCCCATCTCTAATTCAAGTCAGTGGACCTACATAGCGTTTTGAATTCAGCACGTTTTTTAACGCAAAAAAATGCGTGGTCGTATGTGCGCTCAAAATCGTGCAATTTTAATACATGCATGGTTTTCTGCACGCCACAGTCTTTTGGAGACAGCGCGCTGAAATCTCTCAGAAAATTGCGCATGTACTTTCGTTCCGTGTTTTTGTGTGCACGCACAAACGTGTAGGTGTGAACAGGCCCCATAAGAATGTATTGCTTTTTGTGTTTTGCGTGTTATAAGCGCTGAAAACGCTAGTGTGTGAATGGAGCCTCATTCTCGCGAGCGTTTTCTTGCATTGTATCTGGGTATTTACTCAGCTCCATCTAGTGCCCATAATGTGGTATTTTCCAGATTCACTCTGGTTTTATGAAGCACATTCTACCAGAAGAAAAAATTACACTAAGAACATTTGGTCCTGTCCTCACAACAGCTGCTTAACTCACAGATATTGAACATACATTCAGTTTCTGTGGATGAATAAGCTATGCTAACTTTTTAACCACTTGAAGTCCGCGGTGTTAAACCCCATTACGGGCAAGGCCATTTTTCAGTATTCAGCGCTGCAGTATTTGACTGACATTTTTTCCGTCGTGCAACGCTGTGCTGAAATTAATTTAATAAAAAATTTTGGGGATACATAGAGCTTTCTTTTGGGGGTATTTAATCACCGCTGGGGTTTTTATTTTTTACTATAGTAAGAAAAAATTACCGAAAAGGTAAAAAAAAACAAAAACATTTCCCCTATATTAAATGATAAAACATTTATTATTACCCAATTTTTTGGTAAAATATAAAAGACGGGGTCACGTCGGGTAAAAAGACACCAAACATGTCAAGCCGCGAAACCTCAAACTACGATATGCAAAATTGGCCATAGGCGACACTTTAAAAGCATTTACCGCTCATCAGTTTAGTGTTATCAGTGATTGATGGCACTAAAATTATTGCTCTCACTCTGAAATTCGCGGCGATATGTAACGTGTAGCGCAATTGTCGTTTTCGCGCGCTGGCACATCTGATGCATATTTATGTTTATATGTGTGTAAACGTGGGGGTGGGGGACATAAAATTTTTTGTTTTTTTAAACTTTTTTATATGTGACTTATTATTATTTTTTTATTTACACTTATTGTTATTGCTATCACATAGGGGGATAACAATCCCCCTATATAATAGCAAAGGCACACTGACAGGTCCTCTTTATGGAGACATTAAGGGTCTCTAAGACCCCTAATGTCACTTGGGGACCCCAAAAGAAGCTGATGAAGCACAGATCTGCTTCATAAAGCTTCTTCTCTCTGGCTATAGCAGCCAGATGACTGACAGGTGAATGCGGAAGTGATGTATTAAACATCACTTCTGCATTCAGACGCCGGAGGGAGATCAGCAAGGAGGAAGATGCTGAACTCCCTCCCTTCTTACTCCTGGCACCATCCCGAGCCGGTCTCGGGTCGCAGATGGGGGATCCCGGTATTGAAGGTAAGGGTGCAGAAGGGGGGAGGCGGCGGGACAGCGACGGCGCCACTAGAGGGGGGCGCGCGCAGGCAGCACATGCAAGCGATCAGCAGGCTATAGAGCCACCGATCGATTGTATGTGAAACAGCTGTTTACAATGGATGGGTTTTCTCTCCCTATGCGCACGCAAACAAAGCTGTGTGTTTACGGCAACCCGCCAATGTGAGTTTGCCGTCCGTCCATTTTCTCACAACAGGCGGACGGCAAGCGGTTTATAAATATGCAAAGGATACTATCCATAACAAAAACAGGATCTAAAATTTATTTTAAAAAAAACAGCAATCCAAGGTCCCAGCGGCCTAGGATGTGAGGATGCTGACTTAACCCATTTGCAGGTGGGTCACCTGATTGGCTCCTATTGCTGTCCCTCCTCCAGTCTGAGTGCTGCTGTATTGGGCATTGCAAGATGCTGATACATTAATTATATATTAATTAATACACAGCTGTATCCATGTGTCTGTTTATATCTGCCTGGAGTTTGCTTTGCATTTCTGTTTGACAAAACTAGGTACAGGTTTTGGAAATAAAGGGCAGCTGACAGTTACAAATGTGTGAATAATTATGGATGGATTATCAAGAAAAGTAGAAGCAAGAAAACGAATAAATAAGAGAACATTCTAATATTTACTCTTTTCTCTTTCAGGACCATCTGTTGATTTCTGACTTTTATCTGAAAAATGATTCTTGTGCTGCCAAGACTATATATTGGTAGCATAAATGATGTTGCAGATGTACTGCATTTACAGAAAGCTGGCATCACCCACATACTTACTGTAGACAGCGTACAACCTGATCTAGCTTTGTTTCAGACAAAGTTTGTTAAATTGTTGGATGATTCCAGTGCAGACATTTTGAGTTGCTTGCCTGAGTGTCTAAACTTTTTGAAGGAAGCATTGGTAACACCTGAATCATCTGCTCTTGTTCACTGGTAAGTTCTGTAACATATTTTAAAACACAACAGTTTTATCAGATTCTCTACTCCTTACCATCTAAGAGACCGATGTTTTATGTTATGGAAGAGGACCTAAAGTCAGAAGTAGTTTTTAGGTCTGCTTGTCCCCATTACAAAAAGGCACCCACGTGGGTAACACTGTAGTTGGGTCTCGGAATCCCAGGAGCTTCTGCTTCACCTTGTCTTCTGTTCATTAGCCACGACACAGGACCGCGTGGACGCAGGGTCTGATTAGCTGTATTTGCCTGAACATCCAATCGGAGCCTCTGCCTTTGCTTGAACAGCAGTTCAGAGCCACTGTATCGCACAGATCCAGTCCTTATTTGATGCAACCAACAGAGGGAACAGAAGTAAGACAGTGACTTGTGGGACACTAGATAACTCTGCTTCAGGGCAGAGGTATTTGGAGGAAGGGGGGAATTAGCATAATGTTTGTAATAGCAACTTTTAGCCCTCGTTCACACCTGAACGTTTTGTAGCGCGTTCTACGCTCGATGAACGCTCTACAAAACGCTCAAAAATATAAATCCCATTGTATTCAATGGTCTCATTCCCACCTTGGCGTATTTCTGCCCGTCCCTAACGCGCTACAAAACCGCCCACGCCTGAAAAGGTACATGTACTACTTTGGGCCGTTTTGTTGCGCGTTTCCATTGGGATACAGCCAAGTAGCCTTCGGAGACGCGCGACGGTCTCGCAACTTTTTTACCCCGAATCGCGGTAAAAAAACGCACGACGGTCGCGCATATGCAATACGCCTTGGTGTAAACGAGACCTAAGAGTGAGCAGTGGGCCTAAGGTATATTTTTAGATTTGAGTCCACTTTCATGATGGTCCATTCCTCCCACTAATACTAGTCTATTCTTTCTGCGCCATAATATTTCTTGTATATTTAGGAACGTAAGAGTTCAGATATCGTTGTTTTATACTGTCACCTACAGGAGGATTTGGACACTGGCAAACAAAAAAAATCCATAGGCCAGCCCATAATAACCCCTCCTACCTAACATGCCTCATTTGTTTTCTTTTTTTCCCAAGTAATCTTCCAGGACAGCATCTGAGAGATAGTCTCCTCCCACCTGAAACAGGAAACACATCACATACACCAAATAAAAGGGTGCTTACCCCCAGCATGCCTCAGTTATTTGTGTTTCCTCGGCCTAAACAGGAGCATAGGAAATATTTTGTTATTTTTTCTGTATAGGCCTGCGTGCACGTGGCAGGGGCTTACTGCTCGGGCATCTCCTTAACAGAGCCAGTGGCTTGGGGGATGTCTGGGCAAGATACCTAGGGCAGTCCCCATCCCGTCCTACCCTTATGGGTGAAGGCCCTGAGGTTCACCTCTTTCAAGAAGGTAATCATCCTCCGCTTGTGACGGCTCCAGCTGAGCTTTTCCCCAGCAAACAGGCGAAAGCTGCCCTCGGCGGCCATAGGGTATCCGAGAAAGGAACTCTGATGCTGGCCCTTCCGGTCTCAGTCAGTGTGGGGACCCCTCTTCTTCCTCCCTGCCGATCCCAGCAGTTAAGCCTTGGACCCCTAAACAAGCCGAAGTGAGTACATACTGCGGCCGGGGTCATCCAGCAGACGCCGGTGTGAGCCGGCCTTTTCTTTCTGCAGGCCTCGCGCGTTCAGGAGTGTTCTGAACACAGGTGTCCTGCCGGAGCGTCTTCCGGGCATGGCGGCGCACTGCAGTGACGTTGGACGCCAGGGGCGTGGCGTTCCTCGGGTAGAGGCACTAGGGAGGTGATACAGGAGAGGAGGAAGTGACGTCGTGCTCGGCGCACTTCCGGTGCGGCCATAGAAGAGCTCCTCTCGGATATGCCAAACCGCCAACCAGGGGAGAGAGGAGCAGCTGCCTGCCAGGCAACCTTGTGGACACCAGCAAGGGGGGAGCAATCGGAGTGGGGGCAGAGAGCGTGGATCTTCGCATCGGTCAGCGACCATGCCGGCAGACTCCGCAACAGTTGCTGCACCCACTGATCTGGGAGAATCTTGCAGCGACAGATTAGCATCTTCACACAAAAAGCCGCTATGCCAGCCATGCTTAGAAAAGCTTGTGGCAGAAGAATCGGCGGGGAATTTTAAGGGTTTGCTTGACAGCATGAGGGAGGAAATAGTAGCTACTTTCCAATCCCTGCGCTCGGTCATTCAGGTTCAACCTGGCCCTCCCTGTCCAGATCCGGCCCTGCCAGGGCCTTCCGGGGTTCAGACCCGCATGTCAGAGAGCCGTACCAGTCGGGAGACGGTGAAATCGGGGGATTCTTCCTCCGATTCGGGGGCAGGACGAATCTGCGGAAGAGGGGAAGCTTAGGGCTTCCCGATACCTTTTTCCAGCGTCAGACACTAACGAATTACTCAAAGCGGTCTGGGAAACCCTGGGGATCAAAGAGGAGCAAGCCGAATTTTCAGTACATGATAGGCTTTACAAGGGTCTGCAGTCTAAAAAAGGCAGGACTTTCCCAGTCCATCAGTCCTTAAAATACCTCATCCTAACGGAATGGGCTGATCCGGAGAAGAAGCTTAATTTTCCCCCTCGGCTGAACAGGAGATTTCCCTTTAGCGAGGAGGACTGCGGGATCTGGGAAAAGTGCCCCAAGCTAGATGCTTCCCTTTCCAAAGTGTCCTAGAAAACTGACTTATCTTTCGAGGACATGGGGGCCTTAAAGGAACCCATGGACAAGAAAGCTGACGCGCTACTACATAAAGCCTGGGAAGCAGCGGCGGCAGAGTTCAAACCAGCCCTGGCCACCACCTGCATAGCCAGGACACTGGATGTCTGGCTGGGCCAGCTCCACTCACTTTTGGAGTCGGGGGCCAGTGCAGAACTGGTGTCAGTCTTTTCAAGGGCTCTCCAGGGCGGTTGCTTATGTAGCGGATGCCTCGGTGAAAGCCATAAAGTTTTCAGTGCGTGCGTCAGCACTGATTAATTCTTCGCGTAGGGCTATGTGGCTCAAGACCTGGTCTGGGGACTTTGCATCCAAGAACAGGCTATGTGGTCTACCATTTAAGGGTGACCTACTTTTTGGTCAGGAGCTGGAGGCACTCCTAGACAGGTCTTCGGACAAAGAGAAAGAGTTTCCGCTGGCAAGCAAGCAACCCAGGAAGCCCTTTCGGGGGCAGCTTGACCGAACGAATAAACGGGGCAAAAAGCAGGACCAGGGTAGGAAATGGGCTTTTAAGAAGGAAAAAGGCAAACCTGGGTTTCGATTTCCCCCCGCCCAAGCAAAGCCCCAATGACTACCCGGCTTTGGTGGGGGGAAGGCTAAAACTATTCCTCCCTCAGTGGCAGGAGGTCACGGCCAATGGTTTTGTCTTAAACCTTATACAGTGGGGTTACAGGATAGAGTTATTGAGATCAGCCCCTGCCAGGTTTCTCATAACATATCTTTCAAACAACCCAGAAAAGGCCCAAACGATGATCCTAGCCTTGCAGAACCTTCTGGACCAAAAAGCGATCTGCCCGGTACCGGTGGGGGAACGGGTGCAACTCCCATCTCTTTGTAAGGAAAAGGCCCTCGGCAAAGCCAGATTAATCCTCAATTTGAAACCCTTGAACAAAGTGGTTCGGTACAAAAGGTTTCGTATGGAATCTATTTACACGGTAAGGAGCCTGTTGGTGACAATCACCAAGGACGCCAGTGCTTGGGGCTGTGGTGCCCATTGGGGGGACCACCTAGCCCAGGGAAGTTGGAGTCCCGATTGGTGTTGGAAGTCTTCCAACATGAGGGAACTGAAGGAGATAGGCCTGGCCTTGGGCAAATTCGAGGCAGGAATTGGAATTGCTCATGTGGCAGTCCAGTCGGACAATGCCACGGCGGTCGCCTATATAAACAGGCAGGGGGGCACAAGGTTGCGGCCTCTGATATCCCTGACGCAAGAGATTCTGGCCTGGGCGAAGGTCAGACTTTTATCCCTCACAGCGGTTCATCTAAAAGTGTCTCTGAACTCCTTAGCCGACTTCCTCAGCAGGAGACGCATTCTCCAGTCGGAATGGCCACTGAACGACAAAACGTTCCAGATGCTGAGGAGGAGGTGGGGGACTCCAGAGGTAGACCTGTTTGCAACCAGGGAGAACAGGAAAGTGGAACAGTTCTTTTCCCTGTGTCCAGGGGACGGAGCCCTGGGAGTGGATGCGTTTGCCCATCCCTGGGTTTTTGTGCGGGCGTACGGTTTTTCCCCCGTTAAGGCTGCTACCCAGAGTCCTATTGAAGGTAGCGCAGGAGCGGGTGACCCTCATACTCATTGCACCTTGGTGGCCAAAGAGACCGTGGTTCGCGACACTTCGCAACCTCAGTGTTGAGCCTCCTTGGATTCTGACGATAATTCCGGACCTGCTGTCCCCTGGCCCAGTACGGCACCCTCATCCAGATACCCTCAAGCTAGCGGCTTGGTATCTGAGAGGGAGATCCTACTGACCAAGGGGCTTTTGGAGAGAGTTGTAGCCACTCTGCTTTCCAGTAGGAAACCAACGACGGCCGCAATCTACAAGAAGATCTAGAAGACTTTTTTTCTTCCTGGAGGCTCCTTAACGACATGAGGGGTAAACCCGTTGTGGTGGCGGTGTTGGAGTTCTTACAGAAGGGGGCGGATATGGATTTGGCATGTAGTACGCTAAGGGTACAAGTATCGGTGCTTTCAGTATACTTAGAGACTAGACTGGCAGAGGAACCCCTGATTAAAAGATTTCTGAGGGTCACGGGCCGGCACAGACCACTGATGGTTAAAAGCTACCCCTCTTGGGATCTGTCAGTGGTACTCCGTAGTTTCCTGGGGGCCCCATTTGAACCTATTGCAGACTGCTCGATTAAACTGCTTACTGTAAAAGTGGCGCTGCTGATAGCTGTTGTATCAGCCAGACGGGTGAGCGAGATCCACGCGTTCTCTATGGCAGAGCCGTATTGCATTATTCAAGCCAGATCCGGGGTTCCTGCCAAAGGTGGCTTCAACCTTTCATCGCACCCAGGAGGTGGTTATCCCTTCTTTCCACCCTAACCCAGTTACCTCGGAAGAAGAAAGACTGACGGCCATTGATGTCAGGAGATGCATTCTGGAGTATCTGGACAAAACCAGCACCTGGAGGAGGTCCAATAATTTGTTACTCTTTTTTTCAGGCGCAAAAAAGGGCCTGAGGGCATCTAAAGGTACAATTGCCAGATGGATCAAGCTGGTGATATCAGAAGCCTATAGGCTTTAGGATTTGACACCACCACAAAATGTGACAGCGCACTCTACCAGGGCCTGAGCTTCATCTGTGGCTGAAAGAGCAGGGGCTACCCCCAGATCAAATCTGCCGGGCAGCGACTTGGACCAGCTTCCAAACTTTTGTCAAGCACTACCGCATGGATGTGTTTGCTAAGGAAGACCAAGATTTTGGTAGGAAGGTCCTGCAAGCGGTTGGCCCACCCTAAACCATGTGAGTATGGGTTCTTGCCTATTCTCTCAGATGCTGTCCTGGAAGATTACTTGGGAAAAACTGAGTTAGGTACCTGGTAACTCGGTTTCCAGGAATCTTCCAGGACAGCATGGTTCCCACCCTTCGGATTGTATATAGGTCTACGCTTATGTGTAGCCTTCGGTTCTATTAAATTAACTGAGGCATGCTGGGGGTAAGCACCCTTTTATTTGGTGTATGTGATGTGCTTCCTGTTTCAGGTGGGAGGAGACTATCTCTCAGATGCTGTTTTGGAAGATTCCTGGAAACCGAGTTACCAGGTACCTAACTCAGTTTTTTGCTAGTGTGCTAGGAGGATAGATCTTTTCGTTAGCTCTGCTCTCTGTTGCAGTAACCTCAGATGTTGGAGGGCCTTCTTTTTAGAGGTGCCTCCTTTTTCAGCCCCTTTCCCTTTTGTTGTGGGTCTGGTTCCTTAGAGGTATCTGTCTCTGAGGATCAAGTAGTTCCCCACAGAAATACTCGGCCTACTCATCTGGTGGCTGCTACAAACTCATCTCCCTATCTTCTGAGGGGGCTCCTTTCAGTGAAGAGTTATCTCCGGGCCTGTGTTCTGGCACCCAAGAACGGGTGGTTTCCGGCTATACCATAGGATTCTGCTCCGGGTAGGTTTCTTGGCTCAAACACTGTTGGACACCATCTAAGTACTGCTATGTCTTCACATTTTAGAAGCTACGGGAGTTCTTTCTATTTCAGAAGAGGGAGCCTGGTTTTGGTTGTGGACAATACCGTCCCCGTAGGGGTGATCCCCTGGAAACCAGTTCTTCCCAGCTGGTAGCTTTTGAACATGGAGGTGAAGGTTTTGCACCTAAGTGTGTCTCAGACCTTGCATTGCAGGTCAGGGACATCGGTGGAGTGTCCGGTGCCTTCCTTGAGCTGTCTGCGGGAGGAACAAACTAGTCTTCTGCTGTAGGTATCCTTTGTCAGGAACAGGGAAGTCTTTGGGACCTCCACAGGAACTGTCCACCTAGAGTGAGGTCCATCTATTTTGGCTGATTTGCCCTTCATGAAGGAGGCTCTATTCTCTATTGGCAGAAGGGCAAAATAATGTTTTACGTTTTGAACACATTTTTATGTTTTATGAAGCCTGCATTAACAAAGCTGGGGATGTAGTTAGTTGATAATTTAGTAAAATAGCAGTTCTCCTCCCCAGTACAGAGGTACATGGGTGGGCCCTGTACTCTTACAGTGAAACTCTGCTAGGCTCATGTATCATTGGTGCATCTAAAGCTCCTATTACTTATTTGACAAGAGAGGGTGCTCTCAGTTGACAGAAGAATGGCCACGCAAATGACAAAAGGTAGTAGCTTAGATGACATCTACAGCCAGTCTAATATGATATATAATATTGACTTCCTTTATTACATAAAAGCATGAGTTCTGAATGCACTATCTTGCATAGGTGTATGTATAGCCGTTTTTTTAAATCCGTTTTGGAAACTCTTGATAGTGTGTTTTCTACTAATTTGTGTACCATTAGATGCATTTCCTTTTACTTCCTGTGCTTGAGACACAACTGAAAAGGAGAATAAAATCTCTAAGAAGTGAGGGTAATTCTCCAATTAGTTGATAGCAGAACAGGTATCCCTATTGGAAGATTTAGCCTCCCCTTTGCTGACGAATGTTTTATTTTCTATCCCTTTCTTTTTGCAATGGTCACCACAAATAGTGAGGGTGTATCTACTATACCTAGCAGAACCAGAGGCTGCAACAAAATCCTGACAGGGCATCTAATCCTATCGGAAACTAAAAAAAACCTTTTGGTTTTACTATACACTTCTATTGGTCTTTCATTATTCATTGCAGCTGGAAACAAGGGAACTTGATGCATTACAGACTACTTTTTTTCTTTGTTCTTTTTAACAGCCATGCTGGAGTTAGCCGGAGTGCTGCTGTAGTTATAGCTTACCTGATGAACACAACAAGATGTACCTATGAAGAGGCATACATACGATTACAAGATGCAAAATCTGATATTAAGTAGGTATCTGTGGGAATTAACTCTTTTTTTACAAAATATATGTATTTACTGGTTTAGTATTTTTATGCGAATATACAGACTGCTATTAATGGATTAGATAGTGTTTATTATATTCTTTATTTTATATGTTCTGTGCTAATATAAAACATGTTATTTGAATCCATTAAATCTAAAATATTGTCTGGTAAGCAAAAAAAGCAATATATTTTACGTATGGATGGAGTAGGAAATGGTTTAAATAATCGTCAGGATTTTTTGTTTTGTTGTCTGTATCACATTGCGGAGATTTCCCTTTACTCAATGCATAAGAGATACAACAGGAATCAAGAGCAAACTTGTACTGAGTACTGTACTTGGTATCGGTGCATCCCTACTTGAAATGAAACAATAAAATTGAACTAAAACTGATTTTTTTTCCATGTGTGCAGGTACTTTTGTTTGCCACCCTGTGCTGCCCATTTGTAGTGTTTTGGTTAATGTAGCTGAATGAGCTAAATAAATGTGCTTCTTTTCAGGATGACCAAATTAATTAGATTTGCTTCTTTCAGAATCAATGACGAGTTTGTAAACCAACTAGAAATTTTTGACGCTATGGGTTGTGAAGTGGATATGAGTAGTGCAATTTATAAACAGTACCGACTGCAGAAAATAACAGAAAAATACCCTGGTAAAGTCATTTTTCATGCTTACCTTGTGTAGAACATCCCATCTTCTGTTTAATTGTGTAACTGCCAGTCTTTTCAGGGATGTTTTTGACTTTCTAAAGCCTTACTCCAGCTTGATCTTGTAAGCCCCTCCGTATACAATATATAGTCCTGACGTTTGTATTCTATTTGCTGTTTTTGTATGTTTCACAATAAAGGGGGCACAATCACTACACAGTCCTGACTGCTATACACCATGGTGTATGTTACATAGTCCTGACTACTGCACTCCATTGGCTGATTGCCTGCACTCTATTTGAGACTAAGTTTGTTTCGGGCACTTTTTATTAATTCCCCCAATGGTGTGCATTTTGCCTTCATGGGTTTCTAGATCATATAATTATATAATCATTTAACATTTATCAACAAATGACCTGGATACACTAAGTTGCAAAGATGTGTACAGATTTACTAACACATTGCAGAGTTGCAAAACTGGGTTCAGACGTTAAGATTTGTTTTTTCCTTTGGCATTAAGGGGTTAACATTGTTAGTGCTGTCCATAATGAAATAATACATGTACATAGTAACCAGTCAGCTTTCATCTTTCATTTTTTTTTCATGACTTAGAAAATTTAAATTTAACAGCTGATAGGCTGCATTGAGTCAGTTTGTCTCAGATACTTTATTCATTCCCCCAATGATGCACATTTTGCCTTCATGGGTTTCCATATGATCACTGTGATTTGCTGTCATAGTGATCATGTGTTTGGGATCCCATTCTACCAGCTCCTGATCGTCACCCCGTGACTGAGAGCTGTCTGAGACAGTGCTGGATGAGTATGATTGAGCATGCTCCCAACACAAAACAATGATACATACAGTACTGTATATGTGGCACGTCATGCTAACATTTATATGTGGAAGGCCGACAGGAAGGGGTTAAAATAATTTTTCTCTAGAGGGGAGAAGCGATAGAACCCCTGTCTGTTGTTGGGTTTTTTTTATTTGGTCTTTGTGACCATATGAGACGTTTTCCCTCATTTGCTTTCTGTACAAGAAGTGATGGGAACACAGACTGCCACAAAATATTTTTTTTGTTCAGTAACATGGTAGATTAGAACCTCTGTTGGGGTATTATTACTGGTGTTTTACTGTCCCAGGGTCAACCGTCCCTCTTGTTTCCTGTCCTGCTGTCGGGAACAAGACATGAAGTAAGGTCTTCCCATTAGGGTCATGGACAGCAGTAAAAACTTGACAGAAGTGTTTACTCTTCTCTGGTCTCTTCTTTAAAATTAAGAAAAATTTTTTTTGGCTTTAGATACACTTTAAGCATTTTTTTTCCTGTATGTGTATAACCCTCCACTCCCATAGAGTTCTCCTGCACCCTTCCACCGATTTCAAGTTCTGTTTCGCACAGTCCTACCATGTGTCAAGCTATGCAAGGATAAAGCCTTTAAGAACAACTCCAGGAAAACTTTTTCTTAACCCTTGCAGTGAGGCTACTTCCGCACTGCACGGGTCAAGTGCTTGTTGTTTTTGTCTGGGTTAAAAAAGAAAGTTATACTCACCTGAAGCACTGAGTGGGCCAGCCGTCATAACGCTCCCTCTAGCCTGTCTCCTACGCTGCAGCGTTGGAATGTTCCTCTGTCCTCACGTCTCTAGGCTGTATAGAGATGTGATGATTTACGGTACCTTAGACTGCTGCAGAGGAGGGGGAGAGGGGCTCTAGGGACTGGTCTAAGAACAAGCTGGTTTGGAGCTTTGGGTGAGTATAACCTTTTTTTAAATGGGCAGTTAACCCTTGCAGTGCTGGGGTAGACCCACTACAAGGGTTAATAAAAAATGTTCCTGGAGTTCTTCTTTAATAAACCTCAAAGCACAGAGTTTTTAGTGGGGACTACTGTGCTGAGTAAGGTCTGAAGGGGGCATGTGGTGTAATCTGCATCACATTGATTCCCTTTTTAAAATGTATTTGGAGTGTACTAAGTACTCCATTCAGATCTCTCCACATTAGTGCATTGTGCTGTGGCGTGGTGATCTGCACTGCGAAAAAATGCCTTGTCTGCATTTTTCCACACTGCACATTGTACCCTAGTTGTGTGAACAGGGCAAGCAATTGTAATATATGTGCCCTAGTCGTGACTGGCTTTGATCAATTGCTCAAAAACTAGGGTTGCACAGATACCAAGTACAGTACTCGGTACAAGTACGAGTACATGTACCGATACTTTTGAGCTCTAAGACTACACCTAGAGAAAAAATTTTAAATTAGGAGGCAGCTGCCATTTGTAAGGAGCACACAGAGCTCCTGGGATTTGTACATCTCTGTTTTTAATGTATGATTTTGTTTTTATAAACATAAATAAAGGGATGCACAGATACCAGTTTTGCGAGTATGAGTACTGGTACTTGCCGAGTACTTCCAAGTACGAGTACTGATACATTTTTGTTTATTGTCATGTGACAGTTTTTCTAAAACAATACAGACTAATGATTTCAGGACAGTGGTGGAGTGCCAGAGCCAGGTCTCAGCTGCAACCGCTGCAACACTGGTAGTTCTCATGAAAATGCCAGGTATCGGCACTGGTACTCGAAAAGTATCTGTGCATCCCTATCAAAAACACCAGTCACCCCTATTGGTGCGAACCATCCCTTAGGAGTGAAGGCAGCAATGACAACCAGCTGTATTTTGCTGTGAACCAGTTAGAAAGCTTATACACTTGAAAAAAGTTTAAATTAAAATGAACCCAAAATCATTAGTTTACATTGATAGTGAGGTCATGAGGTAAGGATCTTGGGGTTTATTAAAACTAGTAGAGATGTGGGAGTACAAAGCTACCAATTCTCCCCAAGTATTTAAAAAAAAATTGTCCTATTCTGCAACCTACTGCTGCTCTGCTTGCTGAAAGGCCTAAAAATAAATGGAAGTGGAGCATCATGAGGTGAGCACAGCTCCTTTAGGGACCCTGTAGAGTTAATACCAACTGCCGGCTAGGATATTACCATTGATGACAGTCCGAATCTGAAGACTTATTGTATTTTCCTGGCTTATTTCAGAACTGCAAAACTTACCACGTGAAGTGTTTGCTTTGGATCCTAGTTCTATAGCTCAGACTACAGAGGTTCTCTATCGCTGTCGGAAATGCAGGTTTGTTTTCTTAAGAAAATATGTTGTATTGTACGAAGTATGCCTGTCATATGAGGGCTTTTTTTTTTACATAAAAATAACTGTAATTTGACAAATGTAGCTGTAGCTGTCTTTTTCTCTATACACAGGAGATGGTGATCAGTCAGACTGAATGTGTCTTCTCACCACCATGTTCTCTGCGTATACAAAATAAACTGAAAAATCCTTTATGTCCATATCTTTCTTCATTTTAAATAGACAGTAGCTTGAAGGTACCCCTAATCCCCCTATTCACTGTCTAAGCTGTACCCACCATTCTATCATGTATGTGCATTGTAATGTTTGTGTAGATGTAGCACCACCCGTCTGTTGCTTATGCGCTCATGTCATAATAAAATCAATTTTAACATGATGTTGGCTGTCATATAGAAAATTTACCGTCTTGCAAATGCTCAAGTCATGTGTCATTTTGCATTGTCTGCATATTTTATATACACAATGTAGATGAGGATATACATTTAGTACTCCTTTTTTTTTTCTCCAGACGTTCTTTATTCCGCGCAGGAAGTATTTTAGATCACTCCTTAGGGGCTGGACCTGTGGCGTTTGCTCATAAAAAATTGGCTATACTAAATAGCTCAGACTCTGCCAAATGCACCTCACACTTTGTAGAGCCTGTGCAATGGATGGAGGAAAGTCTTTTGGGAAAAATGGACGGACAGGTACATTTAAAAAAATTATCTTTGTTTTTCTAGTCATTCTCTGTACATATGCAAGGCTTTTCATGCATCCGTGCAATGAAATGGGCAGTGACTATGATTGCTGGCTATTTTATACAGAGGTTTGCTGAGTCATGGATAGGTGTTTGAATGAGTATTTGAAATGCACAATAAAATCCACTAACTGAACCAGCTAAAAACAGGACAAACTTCAGAATATTTGTTTCTATATGTGACACCAATGTAATACTATTTTATAAAAAAAATTAACACTCTGTACTGAACTCTTTAACTTTAAAGTGGTATCGTTTTACTCGTTGTAACCTCATCTTTTATATTTCATTTTAAAAAATGGGTATTTTGTTGTGTTTTGGGGCATTTAATTAAATTTATCACTAAATGTTGGGGTTTAATAAGGAGTTGCGCTAATATTGCGCAACATAAAAATTTGCAACTACCACCATTATATTGTATAGGGTCTTGGCATTCCGAAAATATATCATGTGTGGGGGTTTTAAGTAATTTTCAGGCCTAAAATGTGGAATATAACATTGGTGCAAAAAAATGAAAAAAAGGCCTCAGTCATGAAGGGGTTAAAGTAGTATTAAACTCTCAAATGTTTTCAAAACCATGGGAAACAAAAGTAGCCACCCTCCAGAATGAAGGACAGTGTCAGTATGAATTCAGAGATGATTGGAGGATCTACAGCTGGGTGATACACAAATAAGATACAATGTTTTAATAGTTAAGGTACTTGAATGCATTTTTAAGATTTAACTCCTGAGTTTAGTGTCACTTTAAAGTGTATTTCCACTTTTTCACCTAAATTGGGATAACACTTATTTTATATTTGTTACATGTTCCCACTTGCATAGCATAAGCTGAAAACAAAATACTGCGGTTATGGTTTCTTGGCTTCTTGAGGGTTAAAATGTATCTTTGCTTCTCCTTTGTAATGTTAGGAGTAGCTGTGAGGTGTTAAAAGATTACAACTCTGGCTTCTCCATTGTATGTTAATGACAGAAACGCAATCCCCAAATTTCACTCCTAAGTATTTCTGTAAGGACAGATCACTTTGAAGGTGCTCAGAAAAACCCGAAATCAGCCATGTTGCCTGCTGCAACAAAATATCTAAAAGGTAAGAAATTAGAGGTGCACTGAAATGAAAATTTTAAACCGAAAAAACTCCTCTCCATTCTGACTCGCTGACACAGAAGGGTGATCTGGCGCTGCAGGAAGAAGAGCTTAGTCTTTTTTGACAGCTGACTCCTCCCCCTCACCGCTGGCTCGGGTTCCTGTGACTGAGCATGGCTGTCTCCGCCCTAACACCGCTCTCCATCCTGATTGGTCAGAGGAGACAGGGGGGGGCAGTGCATAAGGAGAGCCTGGCCTCCTATGACCTCGCGGCTTACAGCGTTCTCCTCAACCGCACTGCTCGGCCTCCTCTGACAAGTTTTTTTCCTCCTTGCTGGTCGCTGCTCTGTGTCAGAGGGGACATAGAGTAGTGCACAGCGGGGAGGAGGGAAACTGGGCATGCATCACAGTTTTGGCCAAAAGATGATGATACCTTTGGCATTTTGCCAAAAGTGCCATTTTCAACCAATATGTTTTGGCAGCAGAAATTTCGGTGCATCCCTGTAAGAAATATTTTTTGGTATGCTGGTTACATGGGAACATATAACGAACATATAGAGGTTTTTTTTGTTGTTTTCAAACTTGACTGCAAAAGTTCTGCGCTAAAAGAAAAAAATTATTTTTAGGAAAGGAGTGCTGAATTAGGTCGGTTTAGAACTCGGTTACATACCTTCTGGAAACCTGTATTTCCATAAACTCAGACATGGAAATTATTTTTCCCTCCTTAAAATTATACTAAATCCCTCTGAAGTGAGGGGAATCAGAATTTCCCTCTCTTTGGAGGGATTTCCTCTCACTTCCTGTTGTGGCTATTGGACAAAAAGTGAAGGAAAATGTCCTCAATGGAATACAGATGGCAAAAAACCTGAGATGAGTTATAACCCTCCCTTACTGAGGATGACCTTGAAGGGGATAAGTTAGTCAAAAAAGTTATAAACCTCAGCTTTAAGCAATCTGAATTTAAAGGAGAACTATGAGGTGAGTGAAAATCACTCATCCTCATAGTTCGAGCCGACACGTGACAATGAAACTGTCACACGCCGGCTCAATAGATCGGGAACTGAGCGAACACATACCGTCACTCGCTCACTTCTCAATCTTCTCCCGGCAGAGAATCTCTAGGTAGGCAGAGTCGGCTGTCATTCACGCAGCTGGGTGGATCTCAAAAGCATTGTTGGGATCCGTCCTGGCTGCGGCAGTCTCGGTATACTGCGAGCTGTAGCTCGTCATATACTGAGCTTTGGGTCACGGGAGGACGCTAACCCCACAGTTCTCTTTTAAACATGTTGGGTTGTTACATAGCCCACCTGCCTAGGTGGAAGCTTGTAAAGACTGTGCTGGATTTATCTGTCTAAACTAGTTAAACTGCATTATCTGTTTTCTCTGTAAAGCAATATATAATTTATCTGCACCGCATACACTAATACTAATATATTTTCAGCTCCTCTGCCCCAAATGTCACTCAAAATTGGGCTCATTCAACTGGTATGGAGAGCAATGTTCTTGTGGTCGGTGGGTGACTCCAGCATTCAAGGTTCATAAGAATAGAGTTGATGAGGTGAAGCCTTTGCCTATCTGTGGAAGGTGATACGTTCATATAACTATGATGCTTGTCATTTAATAATACAATAAGTGTAGCATTTGTACCTACAGCTAACTGTTAACAGTTTTGGTCATCGTTAACCATGTCCTTTTAATTAAAAACTATATAGTTGTCAATATTAAATATGATATTAAATTGTTAAAAAAATCAAAACAAATTGGTCTCCATACTTTTTTTTAACGCATAGTTTTCATGAGTTGATTTTTTTATTAATTTTAAACATTTTAACTGAGAATAATAGACATTGTTAACTTTATTCGGTGAGCTATTCTAGTGTCTCCTGTTCTGTGCCCACTTTCTAGTCTGCTCGTCCTCTCTGAATGTTGGATGTCTTCCTCCTCTACACAGTGACTGTTCTCTTCCACCACTCTCCAGTCTGCTCTCTATGCATATTAAATATCTTATTCCTCTGTACACAGTGACTGTTCATCTCTTTTTCTTCCACCACTCTTTAGTTGCCACTGTCCTCCTCCCTCTAAACAAGTACTCTCTGGTGTTTCCTTTCCATGTTCTCTGCAGCCACTCTTACTTCTCCAATATGCCCCGTCTTTAGTCTACTCCCTAGGCTCACCATACTTGTTACAATCAACTTTAGCTCTACCTAAACTATCCAATCAATTTGTATCTATTTAGGCATGCACTGCATACTTCCAGGGGATTCTACAATCTGATTGTAACGTGTAGTGAGCTTTACTTCTCTACACATGCCCTCTGATTTCTACTCCCTTCCTCTTTCAGTGAGTCTGTATCTATTCTCCATTTCATTCACAACCCTTTTTTCCGTTAAATTCCCTCCTCCTCTGTAACAGCTTTTTGTTCTTTGCTTTCTTCCGCCTCCCCTGTTGAGCGTCTCCTTCCTCCTCTTTACCTGCTCTCTGCTTTGTGTCTGCTCATTGACTTAATTATTAAACTCAACAAAATTGAATCCCTTAACAAAATTGCACTGTTTGTTAATATGTATAAGTATTGATTTGCCTTTAACCAGGAAGAAAATATATTCTATAGACCAGGGCTCAAAATTTCCACTTGCCCGCTCGCATTTGGCGAGTGGAAATAAAGAGAGGGCGAGTGGAAATTCAGTCAGGCACGCGGTCACGGAGAGAGTAGATTGTCATTTGTGCGGGGGGCAGAGAACAGGGGGTGGGTATTATTTTCTATCTGGGGGGCAGAGAACAGGGGGGGGGTATTATTTTCTATGTGGGGGGCAGAGAAC